GAGATATCTCAGAATTGGTGATCGTACACTGTCATTAAGATCTATTAACTGCAACTATAATAAAAACAGGCTATTCTTATTTTGATAAAAACTAATTGTGTTGTATATTTAAAAAATACAGTATTGTACTATGCTATATAATCTTCAAGCATGGAGTGATATTGTTAAAACATTATTCAAGAATACTGAGTGATGCAAATAGGAAATATAATTAAGATTGGAAATTTCTTCTGGCACTAAAGACCCTCTAATTTTTTGAAACTATAATATCAACAGCTTAATACAATAGGGTAGAATGCAAAAGTTCAAGGACAATATTTTTTTATACCACCTCTTAAATTTATCACGAGTTTTATGATTTCAGTACAAAAAACAAGCCAGGTATAGCTACCATAAAAAAGAATAAAATCTTCTGCTGAATCTATTTTTAGGCTTATTATATAAATGTTGGAAATATGGATCAGATCGCATGTGACATATCCTGTTACATTAAAGAAATCATTTGGAATTAAGAAAGTTCAATGCAATGCAATTCTTAATCTGTCTTCTTCGATATGTACTAATTCCCTTCCTTTCCCACCCTCCCCCTCAAAATTACTCTTCCAATATGGGACCAAAGTCAGAATAACATTTTCTATTAAAAATTCTTACCATTTCCAACCTGTGGTGCAATAGCCTCTGCTTCTGGCCACGGTGTGTTTTTAAAGAACCTTTCTGTTAGTTTGGTCCAACTGCAATACACATAATTATTTAGAAAATAATGGCATGACTGACTATAATAAACCCATATAACAAACTACCACAATTTACACGCCCCATCTCACTTTTTGCCAACTCTACATATGTAAAGATTTCTATGAAAAATGTGGTGAGAAAGATGCTAAAAAACAAGATTTTTCAACGGCATGTGCTAATGTGGGCAGATAGCCTATGTCACTGAAAAATCTTGTTCTTTAGCATTTTTCTTACCATTTTTCTCATACCTTATAATCTTTGATTATGTCCCATTATATATTCACAATTATATAGCTATGTATCACTTACATTAATATTTTATGTCTTTAAACGTAATTGAACCACAATAAGAACTAGCCATACTGATAATTTTTGCCCTGCCCTTTTCTGAAGCAAATGAAACCATACCTGTTTTCATAGATGTCTTGGATCTCATATACCTTCTGATCAATGACATCACTAGATATGCGACTGGCCTGAAGCTCATACACTTTCTGGTCAATCAGATCTGAAACAGTCTTATGAAAGTACTGTATAAAATTTTTAATCACTTCTGGAATCACCTGATAGGTTTGCTGTTCATATTGTCGCTCATAGGCTAAATCCTGTTTTGGATCTCCTATAAAATACAAGTTATAACAACTACATCAAAACATAGTATCAGGAAGATATAGAGTAGCAACAGTTTGAATCTTATGTTTAAATGCATGCATCTGTTTTAGAATCCTCATTTTTAATAAAGTTCTTCAAATATGAACCTGGGCAGATGCCAGGAAGGAGGAATGAGAAGAGAAATGATAACATACTGATGATAATGCCGGCCATGCAAATACCATTACTTTCATACTTGCAAAAATATATTATGAAAATATATAATAGCAGCATTTGCATGATGATGTCTGTCTGGATGTCTGAGGCTTACAGCCCATCATAGGCCACTCAACACTGGCAACATTAGGGTTACTGTGGAGGCCAACAAACATGAATATTACTAAACAAGACAACAGAGGTTGGAAGAAAAAAAGCAAATAGAACAAAAGGCCCTCAAAAATGTTTTTGGCCAACAGGTTTGGGGATCCCATGAATTTGGGACTCTATTAAATGTGATGGTTGACTAGATGCATTCTTTGTATGCTTTGCTGTCATTCAGTCTTATTTCCTGGTTTTTTTAAACCTTGCTTTTATATTGTCTTTATTCTAACTTAACTTGGGCTTTTTAATAGTATTTAGGTATTTTGTTCTGTTATGGATGCTATCCAAAGTCATAATGTGAACTTAAGCCATAGTATTATTGGTATCTAAGTCATTAATTCAGAAACATTTTTTTCTTAATTAAAAATCACTTTCAACTGGCAGCTTCAGAATACATATATGTTTTTTTTTTCATTATATTCTTAAACTATCCAAAGAAGTAATTTATTTTGGGAGAGATAACTGCTCTATAATTACCCAAATGAGTTCCATAACTGAGTGGACATTTCAATTTGGATCTTCCCAATTCAGTCCTGATAACTTTAAAAATATTTATTAAATTAAATCCCATTATTCTTAAGCAAGCCAATCTGAATAAAACACCTACAATAGATTACAAGAATGGAAAGTACAAGAATGGAAATGCCTAGTAGCTATTTTTTGTAGCCATATTTTTTAATATTTAGTTTCTACTCATTTTTTTTCACATTTTAGCCTATATCTGCAGATTAAAAGTAATTGGCAAAGAAACAAACAAGGAAGAATTAAAGTTGCTAAACCAAATATAGGTCAAAGTACTTTCTTTCCATAAGAGACAAATATCAAAAGTTTAATACATAGTTATCCATTTTTTGGTAGAAATTGAATAAAGAAATGTGCTGGGCTCAAAGCACTTCTGAACGATACTGCTACTGTGTCTGTAGCACAACACACATCTCTTTGCCTCCAGTAACATAAACTCGAAGTAGCAGGACCATCAACACGAAAGTATACCGACTCACCTGTGTGTAAATCATAGTCCCCTGTATAAGCATATGGGTCGTAAGAGCCCTGCGAAAAGAGAGCGTGGAAAGGGAAGGCTTGAAACTGGTACAGATAACACGGTGGAACATGCTTAATCGTTGCTCCACCACCACCACCTCATATGTTTTGGAAAACAAGACCCTTCTTCTCGGCTTTGCTTTTAGTGACAACTCAGCAACCCCTCTTCCTTCCACTACACTGAGGCACCCGCCCATCCCTTTTATCCGAAAAGGCCAAGTAAAAACCACCCTTAAAGGTCCCAATTCCCACACGCCAATCAAGATCGCAGTGAACAGATACGCAAAGTTTGTACCTCATCGTAATCGTCCACCGGATACGACATGGCGGGCTTAAGAGCACGAAAAAACGAGAACGCACACCGCCGAACAGCCGACCGGTCTGAGAAAGGTGCAGCAAAGAAGGTCTTCCGGTCACCGAATTTGTGGAATTTCCCTCGTAAACCGGAAGCCGCCTGTATAAATAGTCCGTTTGGCGGACGACTTAAAATACTGCAGGAATGAGAGGGAGCGTTGTTAAACTGCTGCTAATACGACTAAGTAAACGCACTACATTTAGTGTGCGTTATAACGTGACGGCAACCACGCTTAGAAAAAGTAGTGCATTTGATACACTACTGTGAATTGTGTTATGAAAGAAATGCGGGTTATAAACCTATTGAGAATAACTGATCTCTTGTTAGATCAAATCAAAGGACCCCTAAAGCGTTATCTGATCTTCAACATTGACCATCTAGTTGCAAAATCGCAAGCAGGGTGAAAATGTCACAAATTTCCATTGGTTTTGTGACCAGAATTGATGGGATTTGACAAATGTCTAGAGCAACATTAATAACCACTACACAAGAATATTGCCTCCTAACCTGAAGTCAGTTTTGTTTTCATAAAACATTCATTAGATAATAGCAAATTTCTCACAATTGCAACTCTAATTCATAATTACTAAGGAATGGTAAAAATATATATAAGAAAGTATAAAAGTTTAGTCACAGCTGAGACATTTCTGTACCAGTATTTTTATAAAAGTATATTCTTTGCCCCCCAAGAGAAGCAAAATAATTACAGAATACTTGTTTCCTAAGAATGTTCCTGTACAATTTCAATAAGGAAAAAAAATCCTACATCAACAGAGGAAAAAATTTAACAAATGACACCAAAAGTTAAACCTATTGAGTTTCTGTCCTGTGGGGTTTACCTGTCAATGCTTAATACTACATTTATAACAACCAATTGTCCTTGAATGTAAACCTTTTATTTTAGTTAGAACAAGATGTAGACATTACAATCTAATGCCTGGAAATAATATCTTCTCTCAACACTGAGGTTTAAAATTTGGTAAATAGGTGTGCATAATTTATATCTGTAGCAGTGTGCTTTGCTATTGTTTCATTTTGGGGGTCAAGTAATTACAGTATCTTCCCCTCTGAAATGCTTTCTTTTCTATTTTTGCTGCCTTGTTGAATAACATTATTATATTTCTCAGAGTTGCACAAGTACTATATTATCCTGGGTATAAATGAGGCTTCTAATGAAATGTTGGTATGCATTTTGCACTTCTGCTCAGGATGGTACAGTAGTTAAAGCCTCCCCGTTTGCAGATTGTGGTTTCACTTCCTTCCCTTGAAGGAGTAGCACCATCTTTTTCTGCTACTTGGGATGTCCACCTACCCTTCTCCCTTTCACATTCAAACACCTCTTAATATGTAAGGTGTGCTGTTTTGTCTATGTAATGATCCACATTCGAAAGTGCATTTTATTCTAATACATAATGCAGCTCTGGTGGCCTAGAGGTGGAGCTCTCACCTCACAATCAGGAGGCTGTGAGTTCGATCCTAGGTAGAATATTTGGAATAGACTCTCCTGCTGGAGCAGGGGGTTGGACTAGATGACCTCCAAGGTCCCTTCCATTCAATCTGATAATGCTTATACCCTCCCCAAAGGATGTGCTGAATTGCACATCATCTTCGGCCAGTAATCAGCACCGACTGTGAGCAGAAGGCCCTCCATCTTTCCAAGCTTGCGCACAAAAGCATCCGTTCCGCATTCTACTTGGCCGTAGACCGAATTCTCACCTTTAAGGACAAGGTGAGGGAAACATTTGGGGGCGGGGGAAGTACACTCCCTTGCCCGTCATTCTTAACCCGTCGCTTACGGTGTCCGACCGCTGCTATTGGCTGCTGCTTGCTTGTTCCCTTCCTTTCATTTCTATGGTTACGCGAATTTCCCCGCCTCCCGTCCGCGAGCTTGGGCTTTCTGGGCCCACGCTTGAAGCGAACGCTTGGAGAGGCGGTGGGGAGGTTAGGGGTAGCCGCAGGGATGGAAGGCAGTAGCCCCGGCGAAGCCAGCCCGGCCGATGCCGCCAACTTGTTTTCCCTGGCGGGTCTTGGCGTCGCCTTGCAGACCATCCCGGAGACCCCGGACCCGGCTGCTTTGGGTTACTTGCAGCTGCCGTGGCAGAGGGAGCACCGCGTGTGCAAGATCATCAGCCGCCGCCGCAGAGACGCCCGGCTACACCACAAGGTGGGCCCGCTGGGCAAGGAGATTCACGGTGAGGTGCTGGCTGCGGGGCTAGGCGGGAAGGGGAAGGCGTTCTGTTTTTTACCGGGTGACCGAAAGGCCGCCCGTCCTCTCCTTACTGATCAAGGAGAGTTCAACCTGGAAATAAGAAATTTTCTGACTCTGTGAGCAATCAACCAATGGAACAGAAGTTGCCTTCAGAAGTTGTGAGAGCTTCATCATTGGAAGCTTTCAAAAAGAGACTGAACAACCATTTCTGTCAGAAATGGCGTAGGGTCTCCTGCTTGGGAATGGGGGTTGGACTAGATGACCAACAACGTCCCTTCCAACTCTGTTAATCTGTAATCTACTGGATTGTCTAGGCACTTGGAAGGGGAAATTGGGGAGCTTTAGTCTGGGGCTTTGTCAGGAATTTAGAGTTCTTCCAGGTGAAGGCAGCAGGAGTTTGCTGTCAAATACAGCTAGTCCTGGATTTACAACAGTTTGTTTAGTGATTTATGATCCTTTTTCACACTTACATCCCCATAGTCACATGATCAAAATTCAGATGATTGGCAAGTGGTTCATATTTATGACAGTTTCAGAATCCTGGGGTCATGTGATCAGCTTTTGCAATCTTCTGACAAACTTAAGTCCATGGGGAAAGTAGATTCACCTAACAACCGTGTTATTAACTTAACTGCAGTGATTCATTTAACAACTGTGTCAAGAAAGGTCATAAAATGAGGCAAAGCTCATTTCAGTGTCCCACTTAACATAAATTTTGGGCTCAATCATGGTTGTAAGTTGAGGACTACCTGTAAATACGGATGAGGACTAAACATTCAAGCAAACACACTTAGGTGTGGACACATAATTGTTCCCTTGATAATGCAAGGCAGCCTTCCCCAACCTGATCTGAACGCCCAAGCTGGCGTTTGTAATAATTGCCCAACAACCTGCCCTATTGCCAGGGTAAAGGACAGGACTTTTCATAATAGCTCCTGTGTTTTGGAACTGACTGCTCTTGCCAGGATGCTTGGCTTATTTTAACAAGCCAAACTTCTTACAAGAATAAATTGTACTATTATGGATGGTATGATTTGTTTTAATGAGGTCTTATTAATCATTGTTTTTCTATTGTGTGTCACCCAGAACATGTTTGATTGGATTGCCTACAAATATTATAGATAAATAAATGGTACTGGGGTGTATAAAAGAAAAAAATGAAATACAAGCATGGCTCAATGGTGTACATTTGAAATAATTTTGCCCATCAGACCTGAAGTCACCAGAATTCCTAATTTTGTATTAAAAGAATGAATGTAGTTTAAATTGAGAATAAAATGAGGTAGCTTGTGTTATAAGTGAAGGATTAAAAGATTTGTGATGAGTAAATGAGAGCAAAGCAATCCAGTTATTAACTGCAACTTACTGCCAGGAAAATTTATACTGTATTGAAGCCTGAGAAGTTTTGTTTTGTTCTGCTTTATGTATTATGGATAAATAGCTGCAGAAATGTAGACAAAGTTTGCTCACTTCTCAGAGTAAAATTTTGAAGAGAAGCAAATTGTGAAAACTTTGTAGACTCGTGTTCCTCTCTTTCCAGATACAAAAGGATCATTAATTCTTGAAAGATCTTTTCAGTCAAAATTATATCAAAGTCCTCAAATTACGAGAAAAGAAAAATCAAAATTATTGGGCTCTGCCCATCCAGGAACATTGTTGAAAGGCCTCCTGTGCCCTACTTGTAAAAGATTATAAATTCTTTCTGCCAAGGCAAAGAAAAGATCTGTTTGTTGTTTGCACATCTAAAATGAATTTTAAGAGGTAAAAGATACCTACAAAAAGTCATGCTATCCGAATAATTATGAGTCCACTAGCTAGAGGTAACATCACAGTTCCTTAGATATAAAACACTGCATTGCTGCCTTCCCCCAGTAAAAGATCACTCTTGAGGAGAAGGTGTGGATTGTGCATAGTGAGAGAGTCACAAAACCTTTGTTTAACCAAACCTGATGTGGTTGTGGTTGTTTTGTTTTTTGTAACATTAAATTGAGAAGGAAATAATTCACTCTCTTTTTCCACAGCTTTAAAAAGATTGAGAGAAGCTGCTAATTCAAATGATTTGGAAACAGGTAATATTGCATCTGTCAAAATTTGATCTTTAGCCCCATGTATTTTCCCCTACATAGGTTCTGTTAGAGAAATATAGGTCTTATAAAATGACAGGCTGTAAACAGGAACGGATTATTTGAGATGAGAATGTTCAATACACTGTATTAGATTCCTAAGAATTTCATTGATACGTAAGCTTTTACATATATATGTGTGTGTGTGTGTGTGTGTATGTATGTATGTATATATATATGTGTGTGTGTGTGTGTGTGTGTGTATCTCTATCTATCTATCTATCTATCTATCTATCTATCTATCTATCTATCTATCTATCTATATCAGTAGCTTGGAGGAACCTCAGGTAGGCTTGAAAATGGGTCTGTTAACAAAATGTTAGTTTTATGCACACACACTTCTTCTACCCAGGTATTCTTTCATCTCCTAGTTTCGATTAAGTCTTTCCTAACCAGTTCTATCTTATTGTAAGACGCATATAATCATTTCAAATAAATTTGTTTATGGAAATGTTGGCTGGAAGAAATGCAGAGGGCTAGATTTCAGTGCTTTGCTAACCCTCCATCTTCACTCTCCTCACTTGTCTGCATATTTAATTTCTTGGCACACAGTTCCTGATTGCCAATCAGGATTACAAGATGAGTACATTTACTAGAAGGTTACATTTGCAGGAATATGAAATTTTTCTATATCTCTGATTAACCTATATTAAATATCCTTCTATCTCTAAACTTTAGCTGAAATCAGAAGAAGTTTAGACTTAAATTTGTCTGAAGAGTGTAGTGAGATATTGGAATATTTGGTATTTTGTCATTTTTTTTAATTGAATAAGGAAGTAAATTTTAAATAAAAATATAGTTCTGGGAGAGACAATGTCCTAACTACCTGATGGATTAAAATTTGCATTTAATGTTTTCATTAAAAGAAATATATATTCACATTGATTGAAACAATTACTATGTACAGTTTCTTTTTGTGGGTGCTTTAATTCTTTCTGGTTCACTTTGAGCTTGAAAGGAAGTAATTTACTGATACTGAATTGCTTGAAAAGATCTGAATGAATTTGTGCATGTATCTTATTTGTTTCTTCTAAAATGAACTTTAAGTATTAAGTATTGTTTCTTGAAAGTTTTGCAACAATTTATTACATTTTAAGCTAGGATACTGATGGTGACTTTTAGCCAATTAAATCTTCAGGTTATTAATGCTTCCTTTTCTTTCTTATTTGGTGGCATCAGTAATGCAACTTCTAGAAGATGGGGCAGACCCCTGCGCTGCTGATGACAAAGGTCGAACAGCCTTGCACTTTGCTTCTTGTAATGGAAATGATCGCATTGGTAAGCCAATTTAAAGAATGGGGGACTTTCACTTTGGATGCCACTTCACAGAGAGATAACGCTGATTATTTTCAAAAGCATTATTATTTGTAGATTTCAGTCAGGTAGTCCATGGTTCCTAGCAGGTAGAAGGAAACTGGGCAAAAGTCATGGACATAGATCAGTGTTTCTCAATCTTAGGAAAGTTAAGATGTTATAGATTTCAATTCCCAGAATTCCCAGGCCAACTATGCTGGATGAACAATTCTGGCAGATGAAATCCATGTATCTTAAATTGGCTAAGGTTGAAAAACCACCGATATAGATTATTACAAGATAGAATGAAGTTAGAAGTGAAAATACCATTATGAAGTATACTTCCTAAAACAGTGTTTCTCAACCTGGTCAAGTTTCAGATGGATGGACTTTAACTCCCAGAATTTCCCAGCCAGCAAAGCAGCGTTTAAGGTGGGTGGGTGGCTGGGGAATTTGGGGAATTGAAGTCAACCCATCTTAAACTTGCCCAGGTTGAGAAACACTGTTCTAAAAATCAGTATTACAGAGATTGCCTGGTGTCCAGAATAATTCCAGGAGGTTTTGTGGTTTTATAAACAAACTTTGGGTGTGTTCCTTGAAAAGTTTGGCTAAAAATATAAGAATAGGGGCAAAAAAACCCTGAGAACATAGGTAACACCTGCAAATTAGGAGTGACACCAGCATCCTTAATTAAAACTTTTCTGTCCCTTCTAGGTTGAATGAGGCTTGGATATTGGATAGAGGACAGATTCAATTAAGCTAATATCAGCTCACTGTAGTCATTTTTGGTTACCAAGAGTTGAGCAATGTGTAAGTTGGCTTCTTGCTTCAAAGATGAGCAGTTTGAGATTGTGAGGGTCCATAACTCAACTTTACATTCTTTCCTTCAAGTGCCCCTGAAGGCTGATAAATAAATATGTGATATTATTCAATAACATGTACTTAAAGTTTATTGGCATATTCTTGGAGTTGGAGTGATTAAGAAGGAGCTGAGGGAGGTAATATTCTCACTGGCAAATTACATTTGGGGGGAGGGATCTGCAGTGATGCTTGTGTTGTGAAATGGCAGGTACTACTAGGCAAGTAAAGCCTTGATCCATTTTATGGGTATACATTGCATGCAATGCAGGTTAAAAGAGATTTGAGCTTTAATCCCCTGATCATGCCCATCATCTTGAAGCCAGTGACGCTCATTATGGACATCCCATTATTTTTGAACAGCCCCCAAATGTGGCAGATTGGCTCACATTGTGCTGTGGCAGTTTATATTGCAGGCAATTTTGGATAGTGTGAACTTGAGATGATGGGGCCCAGAGGTCCATTCAGTAGTGCTTCATATGCAAGCTTGACTGTTTCAAGGGACATAAAAGCATCATTTTATTATAGAGACCTCTTCCATTAAAGTCTTTAGGGAAAGAGGTTGATTTTGGTGAGATGCAGCCAGGACTGGATGCTATCCATCTCCAAAAGTTGCTAGAAAAGAATGAGTTCTTTAAGACTATATGACCACGGGCTAATATTGGGGATATTTCTTAATGGTTTTCAAAGTGAACTTGAGAGGCTCTTTGTTTGTGTTTTAGTGCAGTTGCTTTTAGACCATGGTGCTGATCCAAACCAGCGAGATGGATTAGGGAACACTCCCTTGCATTTGGGTAAGCATCATTTATCTGAAATGCCATCTTTTTTTTTCCTGAGAAAATTTGCTGAAACTGGATTTGCTTCAAGTTCAGGCAGCAATAGCCTGGGACACATGGGAAAAATTTCTTTAGAGTAAACCAGGAAATTGCCCATTCAAATATCACCTCAGCAGAGAGTGAACATATGCAAACTTTTGCCTTTGGAACTGAACTCACATCTGCCATACAAGAAGCATAATATTTACTTTTCAGGACTACCTTAATGTTTACTGTAATAATTTCTATAAAGTATGTTTTAGCATTTTTTTTATTGCGTGTAAGCAGTTGCATATCTCGTGTTTTAAAAAAATGGATTTTAATAGTCTTACATTATAGAGCCAGTACATCTGCGCCAAAGAACTTGTGATACTCTGTTTAGTTTTTGTAGGTTCTATAATATTCTTAACTTTTACTGGAATATTTCTTCTAGCACAGATAGGATTTGGTGAGACTGCATTGACTTGTTTCATGCCCTGACATGAAGCTGAGATCAGATTTCTCAGCTTGCATTCTTTGTTAGTATACTATATAGATTTGCAAAGGGAGCTTTTTGGAAACACAGTCTTTACTGTATAAATAAAGTGGTGATTCTGATCAGATATAATATATCCCTGCTGCTTTACTGCAAAGCACTCCTTAGTTCTATGTTTTGTATTTCCCCTCCACAGCTGCCTGCACGAACCATGTTCCTGTCATCACCATGCTGCTCCGCGGAGGTAACCTTTCTTTTAGGCAACGCTAAAGCTGCCCTTTCTTCTAGTGCTCTTTCAACCTGTTTTTCTTACTCTGCATTTGCATATTTCAGGAGCTCGAGTGGATGCCTTGGATCGAGCTGGAAGGACCCCTCTGCACTTGGCCAGGTCAAAGTTAAACATCCTGCAGGATGGCCTCTCACAGAGCTTGGAGGTTGTGCGCCTTGAAGTAAAGCAGGTACAGGAAGGTTATCCTGGATTTGAGGGGCTGCCAGGTGTTATATATTTAACAGTTGTCTCTGCACTCCACAGAAGACATTTGGGACTGAGGAATGTATGTGGACATGAGAGTTTGGTGTCAGTGGATTCTGAGAGAAAGGCAAAGGTGTGTAAACCTGATTCACACGCTAGACTAGGAAAGGAAAAACACCTTTGGCTTAGAGGACTGAAATTCTAAGGCGTAATTGGCCAATCAGATTAGTTGGATATGGTAGAAGTCTTGATGAGTCGAAAAATGAATGTGATCTTTGAAAAGTTTTAGATCAGGGAATAATTACTAAGTATATTTGGAGATCCTCTTGGAAGTACAATTTGCACTTCCCTGGCAACTGTGAAAAAGGAAAATAGAGAAAGTATAGAGGGTAGCAGATAGAAAAGTAAGGCTTGTTCCTCCCTCTCCTATTTTATCTGTGACTTGTTGCTGACAAATGGCCTTCTATAGCCAGGGTAGGATATTTTCTTCCACAGGCTTCAAAACGTTTTGGCCTCTGAAGGTCCCAAGATATATTGCTAGTAAGATCATGAAGTAATCATACTGAAGAGAGCCAATCTACTCTCAAAAATGTATAATACAAACATGCAGAGTTTTTTAAAGTACATATTGCACTTACTTACCTTTTATTTTATTTACTTTCTAGCTCTTTATAGCTATAGTATCTTTAGAATCTGCATTTTGCCAGAATGATATTTCATTTCTATTGTAATCCTTCTATCTACTGCTGTCCAAAATCTATGGCAATGTATTTAAAATGTTACATTCTGATCTACGTGCACTAAGTGCATTTGTTTAACTGTCACTGCAAAGTTTGGGCCATCTGTTGATGTGGATCCAAAATGTTATGATTTGGAAATGTTTACCATAGCAGTGTAGCTTTCTTGCTACTGTTGTCAGCATCCATACCTATAAAATAGAGATGAATTCTGATCTAACAATGGATTTTTACATATAGCACGCATGCTTTACCTGCAAAAAAAGGGTGGAGCTTTGATTGCATAGTTGTGGTCAACGTGTATTACTTTTTTGCCCATCCCATGTCACCTCTTCAATGTGCCTAATAAAACTGTTGATTAATATAATTTTTAACCCCCTACCTGTTGAAGGCTGATGGATTGCCTTGCATTCATCATTGGTTATTTTTTGATGGCGACAGGACTGGTAGGTCAACATTTGTTTTAATGGTTTTTGTTGCTTGACTTAGTATTGCTTATTGTATTTCAACTTTATTAGCTGCTAAGAGTCACATATGTGAGATGGAAGGCATTGTAAACTGAATAAATAATAATACTGTCGCTTTTAAAAAATGAAGTGCCTTGAGTCCCAATAAAAAAAATAGTTTTATTCATTTACAGTTATTATTTATGTTTAATTCTTACTTTTTTCTCCTAGGTAGTTAATGTACAGTTGTCAGTCACCTTCCACTTTACTAAAAGCTTATAGTAACTCTATAGATTTGCTTCAGAATTGGGTTTTTAATTAAAAATTTGGGCTTTTTTCATTGTTTGCTGCAAACCACATATTTCCATGCTGTTTTAGATTATCCAGATGTTGAGGGAATATCTTGACCGTCTTGGACGTCATGAACAGAGGGAACAATTGGATGACCTTTGCACCAGGCTACAGATGACTAGCACAAAAGAACAGGTGAGGGCTAAATAAAATTTTGTACTAGCTGAACAGTTCTACAACATGAGAAACTGGGAAATCCAAAAACTATGTTTCATGTCACTGTGAAATATTTTAGTTTTGGCAAAATACATATATCACTTGAATTTAGGATAAATACATTCAGAATAATTGGTATTGTAGGAAAGTGTCTGATTTTAAGGATATTTAAATTGTATTTTGTGGCTATATTGTTTCATCCCTGGTGAAGATGACATTTTAACCCATTTTTCATTTTTTGGAGTGAGTTACAAGTCTGTTAAAGAACTTCATGGGAATTAATGATCCAATTATGGTCCATTTGTTATTGCCATTATAGGATGGTTTGCTGCTGCCGGATTTCAGCAGAATTGGGTTGAGGGACTTCAGCTGCTTCAAAAAGGGGTTGGGCGACAAGCTGCCCATCTTTGTAGGGTTCTTCTTCAGCTCCTGTATAATCATCTCATGTGCTTCCCTGGCAGGTCGATGAAGTTACTGATCTCTTAGCCAGTTTCACCTCACTCAGCTTGCAGAAGCAGAAGATAGACCAGGGGTAACCGGCTTTTCTGTTGTCCTCTCACACCAAAGGAGAAGCCCTGGAAGAAAAGATAGCTGGAGCACCATTGCAGGACTGGAGCATTGTTGTTGCCAGCATCCAACTTACTTTTCCTGCTGCTTCTATGTTGAACAGTTTGAAACCATGAAACATCAGGGACTGCCTTCAATATCCTTTCTTTGGGCCAAGGATTTTTGCTGTGCTGCCTTCAAAGGCATTTTTATTATTCTTTGTTTAAGAATCAGGAATTACCTTTCAGCTAATGAATTCTGGTGGAGCTGCCCTTCTTTAAGGACACTGTCTTCAGGAAGTATTATTGAAGTCCTGCAAGTAGCATCTTCAGTCTGCTCTGGATATATTTGGAGAAATGGCAGCTATTAGCAATTGCTCTGCTTTTAATACCCAGTATTTATGCACACAATTATTGAGCCTTTGTAGAAGGTGACAAACTTAATTGACAATAAATAAAAAAATAGGATGGGGATATTTTAAATGGAGCAAAGTTTGAAGGGCTAGAAGTGCTGCCTATGTTCATTGTTGGAGGAGGGGAGAGATTTTATTGATATCACACACGTGTACATACATGCACACTTCAGATTTATTCACAAGGGCCATTTCCTTTATGCTGATTCTATTTCCTGAATTTTGAATCCCCAGAAGGCTGGTATAAGTAAGTCTACGCTCTGCCCAAGTTTCTCTTGCTGATATTAATTGAATTAAAGGAGCAGAGCAAGAGTAGCTCAAGTCTTTGGTTGTCTCTTAGCCTGCTAGTACAAAAAGACATTTGCAGGAGTTGGGTGATTCCTTTAGGGTGCTGCAATGACTTGTTAGATCATCAGCTGAATATTCTTATTGTGCCCTTTTATTACTTTTCCAGAAGGGGGAGAAAAGGAGGAAAATAATGTGAAGTACAATGGGTGACATGCTAGTTTACTTTCATATGCTGTTTTTCTTCCTACAAAGGGCATAAAATTGGTTTACAGCTCATGCCAGATTCAGGGACTGTAGCAAATCATCTGCTTTAAATAAAAAAAATGTCTCACTGTGATAGTATGTAGATTATACTCAAATCAAAATATGGTTAGTTATATTGCATTAGGCACAGGCCTTATCTAGGATAACGTAGATGAGCAGAGAAAAGTGTTTAGAGAGAGAATGTAGATGAGCAGAGAGAAGTGTTTTCCCCTGGGGCCTGTGAGTTCCTTGAACATGTAAGACATTTTTAATGATGCCATTTTAATTGGCTCTGGCTGAGCAAGTTTTGGAAATTCTGCTTCTTTTATGGGAAAGTACTTGCTTTTTCATTTTGATGTTCCAAATGAAAAGAAAAACCCTTATTCTGAAGTTCACACAATTTTCTGCAACCATAAATTTGTTGAATAAGACCTGGTTCAGAGGAAAAAACCCTCAAAGCTGTTGTTATGTCCTAACTGGGTGTTTTGACTCTAACCAGTCAACAGTAATTAAAAAGGAAAAAAGTTGTAGCCATCCCAGCATCATCAAAATTCCAAGGTTGTTTTAGTTCCTTGAGATTTGTATCTTCTTATGACTTTATTTTTGGTAAATATGCAATGTTTGTGGCAGAAGAGTTACGGGATGCCTAACTTTAAAAGAGACACCGTTCTTGGATCTACTGAATGCAGCAGCTTGATCAAGGAATCTTGAATTCTTTCCTCAAGAGGATGCTGTAGTTCTGAATTGGCTCAGACTTTGCTAGAACTGTCACTGTGAATACAATGAATTTTATTCTATTATACAAGGAAGGTGGGAAGCAATTTTATCTTTTCAATAAAACTGGTTTGCTGTCAGAATGAGTTTGGGATGTTTATTCTTTCCTGCCTTTAGGTTGTTTCCCCTCCTTTTTTTATTTCAACCTGATGCCATTTCCTTACTGAAACTAACCGCAGTGAAATGAATTGTGATAGTGTCCAGTTAAAGTGAGCTCAGAGGCTGTAATCTTGATGTAATTTCCCACTTTTAGCGTGTGACTGAAAACACATTAAGTTCTCCCTGACTCCTAATTCACTGGGAACTGAGAACATGTAAACAGTGTTTGGAAAAGGGAGGAGTTGATGGGGACAGAGAAAGTCTCCAATGAGAACTGCTTGTTACTTTATTTGATCAGGTTGTAAATAGGATAGGGAAACATATAAAAAGCTGTTCTGATAATTCGGAGGAAACTATAAGAATTATATAAGATCTCCAAAAACATATGGAGGAGAGGGAGGAATGATCAAGTACACTTCTTAACAACACAACATAAACTCTGTGATATGAGTACTTGCCTTCAACAGTGGGATGCACATACAAAAGTGGGACTTACGACATATGTATATTTTGTTATTTTCATAGTATGGCTATGAATATTTCTTAAACTTAATCAAACTTGCTGGAATACCTTACAGGGGTATGTGTAAGTAAAAGAAGCAATAATACTATGTTTATACATTATATCAGGGCTGTCAAACTCAATTTCATTGAGGGCCACATCAGGATCAGGTTTGACTTTGGAGGGCCAGTGGGGGCATGGCTATAGTGGGTGTGACATGGGACCACACCTCCGCAGACATGGTTTTATAAACTTATAAAAATAGGGAGGCATACATTTCTGTGATTTTGTTTTTTTAATACTTACTTGATCTACTTGATCACCTTATGAGAAAGAGATCAAGAAACTGACTCCATAGGAAGACTAAAACTACAAAATTATTGACATAGGCTACAGTAGCAGAATCCTGCAAGCCTGAAAGGTAAAATATGTTACTTTTCCTCCCTTTAATAACCATCTGAGTCAAGGACAGCCTCCTGGACCACTCCAGAGGCCCCATTTTGGGCCTGGAAGGCCTGGGCGACTCTGGAGGCCAAAAGCAGTTACGGGGGGGGCACCCCACCCATGCCCCATTTTTGCTAGCAGAGGCACCGTAGGCCGGTCCTTTGCTATTTCCAGACCGGCCCCATGGGTCAGATCTAAGCACCCGCAGGCTGGATCCAGCCCGTGGGCCTTGACACCCCTGCATTCTTTTAATCCGTTTGGTGCTTGAACACAATTTATTGGCATAATTTGTTCATTTTACCCAATATGTTAACCCATAAACCATGGCTCACAAACCACAATAATTGGGTTAACACATTACGCCAAACAAAGAGGAAACCATATTTTGACTTTTCATAATATACAAATACATATATTGATTTTTTTTGCTTAATATACCTGTCCCTATCTGAAAATTTTGTAGAAATTTGGAGTAGAGTCTATCAAACAATCTCCATCTCAAGCTCCTTTGGAAGTGTGGGGAGCTGCTTAAAACACAGAAGGATTAAATTGAACTCACATATTGCATGACTGGTTCATATTAGATTAAGCAAACTACATGGCTTAATGTAATGTGTAACCCAATATTACTTTAGCTCAAGATTGGCAGGCAGGGAAATACCACAATTGTAATAAGTTTGCTTCTGCATAGCTAAACTCTTATAAACAGAAAGATCTGCATAAAGGATTTGGCATAAAGTCTGACTTTTGGGGTTCCTCCACCTCACAACAAATGGCAAAAAAGAAAAATATAAATTACGCAAAGCCAATCCATCCCCTATAAAATGTCTTCCAACTTTCCAAAGGAAAAGTTTTTTCATCATCTCTATCGCTATTTTGGCATAACCATCATTTCCTAATTTTTGTTTACGACATCTTCTATTACTTCTTGGTTTATTGATTTCAAAATCAATCTGACCTACAGTGTCATAGAAGAAACAGGTGTTTTATTTCTCACAAAACTATTGCCATAGTTACTTTGTCCCCAGTTCTTTTTTCGATGTGGAGCCTGTAAGTGTTCTGGGTAGTTTCCACATCTGCCTCATAGCATTGCCAATAAAATAATAGCCAGTCCAGTATTTGTGTATGTTTTAAGATGGCTGATATCTAACAAACACCTGATCATCCAGAATAATCAAATCACTCCCATGTAATATGATTAACTATTGGGGAGAGATGTAATCACCAGGTGATCAAAGACTGTCACGGATGATAGGCAGTGTTGTTTTTATAATGCCACAATTGAGAGGTTAGTTAGTGGGAATATTATTAACAGATTTTTCATCACATGCACACCCCTCTCTGTGTGCAAACACCTGGCTTCTATTTTCCCCACAACAAGAAGGCTGGGCTCAGGTGATATTACTGGTACTAGCTCAAAAGACACTTTGCCAGCTTTCATGACTAAGGGAGACCTAGAAATCGCATTCTAGTTTTCCTAGCCCAGCACCTTAACCACTATACCAAATTGGTTCTTCCTAAGATCTCCTCCCATTAAAGTATCACTTTTTGCAGTAACGGCAACACATGCAGCTATAATCCTGGAACAAATAACAAGAGCTCCCTTGGTTACTTACATATTTAAGCAAAACATCAGGCAACTGTTCCAGAATCTCTTAGTATATCTTCATCCTTTTTTCCTGTTTCCTCATTCTCTATGTATACATATTCATTATTACCAACCTCTAACTGTGGTTGGGGGGTGGGGGGGTGGGGGATTAGAACTCCAGCAATTTGTCCTAGATTCTCTATTGTATGAATGGGCTGCTTTCTCCCTCTAAAAGAACATGTTTCTCCATTTCTCATCCATGGAAATATAATATTCTGCCTTTTTAATATTCCTCAAAATATTTCATTCTTCAAGGAATGAAATAAATCTAAAAAGCTTCAGCATGATGACAAGTAGATGTTTTGCCATTTTGAATATTTCCCCCAGGATCTCATTTGAACATGTCACTGTCAATAGGAAAGCAGCAGAGCATCAATTTTAGCCTGGCAATCGTGCGGTTTTAGATGGTCCACTTCGCTCAGCCAAAGTGGCATTCTATGATAATTGAAAGCTGTGTGTGTGTGTTTACAGGCAGTTCCATGAATTAAAACATAAATATGAATCTGATAGCTTTGTTTCAGGTTTCCTTAGTATCACCAAATAGAAGTTTTAATGAGTATACACGAAAATATACATTCATTGGATCTTAAAAAGAGTTAATAAGCTGACATGCAGGTTTCTTTGAGAAATGTATCTCACAAGGACAGTTTAGCCTGGATTGTTCCTTATGAACAGGCCATTACACAGCACTTATTTATTTTATTTACGATAGCTACTACATTGCAGTACCTTCTTGGTCTGCTTTTCTTAGAAGAATCCTTATTTCCAGCTTCTGTTCTTTCTTGATTCTTTCTTTGGCCTTTTCTTCTTTTCTCAGACAAGGATCATATTTCATTGCCCAGACTGAGTCTGTTCAGAGAATCATACCTGAATCTAATTTTAGTACCCCTGTTGTCAAAACAAGCACAATACTTGAATCCTTTTCTCTTTCCCCTTTTTTGACAGATAAATGGTACTGTAAATGGTAAATATGCAAAAACTGGTGAAGAGATAAAATAGATTGATGCCTAAATTTTATCAGCATGGCCGATGTCATGCAGCAGAAGTCATTTTATAACATTTTGGAGCTGAATACCTCACTTTACTTAAATCAATCAAATCAAATGCCTTAATTATTGCATGAATAACTCAAGGGTAAATGTACATGATACTCATTCCTCCTCCTATTTTTCCCACAACAACCCTGTGAGGGGGGTTGGGCTGAGAGAAAATGACTGGCCCAAAATCACCAGCTGGCTTTCATGCCTAAGGTAGGACTAGAACTCACAGTCTCCTGGTGTTTAGCCTGGTGCTAAAACACCATACATTTGGCCCAAGTCCACAATGTCCTGTAAGTTCCTGTGCTAGGATTTATTTCCATGCAAATATGACTATGGCTTTATTGCCAACCGTATATTAAAATATTTGTTGTAATTCTAAAATGAACTAGAAGAAAGTGTTCATTATAGAAAGAAAAGTAAGCAACTTGTAAGCACAAAAGTAAGCACAGCCATACACAATGCTTGTGACACACCCAGACTGGTTCCACACCTGCACAATCCCACAACACAATTTCTACTTAGAACTGAACTGGTTTACTTTGTGCTCAGTTGCAGTTCAACAGAAAAAATGGCATTTAGTAGGGTCTTTTTAAGAAGCACAATTACAATTCTTAAAGTTTCTTCTATGGAATAGCCTTAGTTTAGATGCTTTATGTGATACAACATTGAGGAAGGAGGTGACCTCTTTCCAGGATAGAAGTACTGTAAAAGTCCCCTTCCCCAATCAATACCTTTAACGCACAGAGAAATTGCTCCGGGTCAACACATGCAATGAAGAATGTGTCCAAATGTTGAATAGTTTTATGGAGGTTCGAGTAATAATCTGATAAAGACCATCTTGATTTTCATTGTAAACTTTCCACATATTCTACTTTGTCATAATCTGTATCTATGAAAGAAAAGCACCACTAGCTTTATAATGGATTCTTACAGTAGGATAGACTTGGGAAAGATATAGGCAAGAGACCAAAAGAAGAAAAAGAAGCAAAAATATAGTGTAGGAAGTTAGCACCCGCCCCACTCCTAGGAAAAAGAAATATCCTAGGAAATATTAAAAAGGCAGAATATTTCCCCTAAAAGGGAAGTAGGAACTCAGAGAGGGAGAAGCTCATCCCCCACCTTTGTTAATGGGTGGGCCATACATAACAAAGGCCTCTATCCATCTCACCACCTGGCCTGGGAAGATTGCATCAGCCAGCACTCAGGTGAAGCCATGTGCTCCAGATAAAGCCTACAAAGTTAGCTAAGACCCCCGCCCCTGGGAGTCTGACAGCCAATAAGATACATTTCTTACACAGGGACAGGAAACACTAAGGTGGGGCCCAACAGAGGGTATAAAACTAAGG